GACAGATATGAATGCTTGACGGTTGAAATACATATAGGTAGGATGGTGGTACGAACCACTCCGGGTGGGCTTATAGTGCGTAATACTCACTATTCCTAAAATTTTAGAGGATGTTGGGAAAAAATGGCAACGGGAAGTAATCGCTACTAAGGTTGAGTCTTATTTCTATGAAATTAGTGTCTTTGTATATTCAGGGCCGCGTACCCGTATGCTATAGGAAGCTGGAGGATTATTTTCAGTTATATAAGTATTAGTTTTGTCAAAATCTCACATTGGAAGGCTCTGATATTTATCACTCATGGTGAGCTATTTGCTGGTGCTCAAATAATTCTGTTAATAACCTGGTCATATAACGGTGATACGAAAAAAATATTTGAGAGTCATAGAACACGTTATGGCGTCAATCCTTATAATATTATGTACTAGCGACCCGCCCACGCTTCGTTTCGGAAACATTTAATTTTATTATTGATAGCTGAGTCCCGCGATGCTACCTGCAGTTATTGTCGTACCGCGGGTGACGCCGCGGGGGGAAGCTAGTCTAAAAAAAGTTACTCCTTATATCATCAGCTACCTACCAGTGAAAATCTCGTAAAAATCGGTCCAGCCGTTCTAGAGATTAGCTGAAATAAACAGACAGACAAAAATTGTAAAAAATGTTATTTTGGTGTATGTACCGTGTATATATTCATATGCATGTAGTAAATAGCGGTTATTTTAATATTACAAACAGACACTCCAATTTTATTTATATGTATAGATTTATGTGTTCATACGTTTTGACTCGTGTAATCAGTGAATATTCCTGTATCTCGAGACAATTGAAATTCCTTTAGCACAGCATAAGTTATTAACCGTTTTTGGCTGGTTTCCAAGCCCGATAGTAGACAAAACTTTGCACTCACTAATCAACCAACAACTATTTTTTGTTGCTTATTTAAGCGCTAATGGCTCTAGGCGTCTAAATGAATTGCTCGAGAACTTATTAGTTCTGTACTTGTTCGATTTATAGCTGTTTGTTATTTAGTTACTACTGACTAAAATAAGATTTTGATTATATAAAAAACTATATTACAAATAGAAAAATAATTAGAGATATAACAGGGAAACTAAATAACGTTCATGAGGAGAATAACTTACCAGTGAATTGCGTTAGGCCCAAAAAACGCGTATGTCATGTACGATAGAATATAATTTCCATGTGTTATTTTAAAATAGTGTGAGGCCATCAATATTGGCGCGCATTTGAAATTGATATTGTGGATCAGTTTTATTTACTCCAAAATTATAATTTCATCTATTTAGGTTAAAATGTATTTCTTAGTGTCCAGTATCGGTTGCTTAGAACGGAATCATCCGGCATTTCGAACAAGATTGAATTTCGCATTTTTATCACATTTTTAAGTAATCGATCAATCCTGAATTATACGTGAACTCTCCTACTTCGGTTTCCTATAAGAAAATAAACAGCAGAAAATAGGTTGACTATTAATACTGTAAAAATTTGTGAAAGTTGACCGAGCGTATCACAGTAAGAAATTTACATGTTTTAATGATGGTAACGTTATTTAAAACAAAGGAGGAGGTTTGTTTATTTTACCTTTCGAAATTCTTGCGTAAAGCCCTCCAGCCGTAACTCTTCATAAGAAATTCACAAGAGTCTCAGACCTCAATCTTTGGAAACATTTAGAAGCACTTTGAGCCTCATCTGATATTCTTGAATTAAGTAAAATTATTTAAAGTTAAATGAAAGACGTATTTACGGAACGGATGCACAAATTTTGTATTACTTTCTAAAATAAAATTTAGAAAGATCACTATCTTTACAAAACATATTTTCGACCCGTACAAAGCAAAAATCTATGACACTGAATCTATGACTTCAAATGAGAACGCATCCCTGCTTCATGGAAAAAAATAAACAGGATGGTATGTACTCATGTGGGTTCATAAGATATCTTACAACCATTAATTACGTAAATTAAATATTAACGGGTTTTAATTTTTTACACGATGTTATTTTTTTCATAATGGAAATAATTCGAGAACACGTACATCTAATTTTCTCGTAAAAAATTTGATGCATGTCTGCGGGATTCGAAGCCCAGCGCATTCGGGTTGAATCGAATTTATAGACATCTTATCTATCAGGCCACGATAATACACTAATGTTTTTTTTTCCTTATATTCTTTCAGAGAGTAAGTAGCCTTTTGCCTTGACTACCAACGTATTTTGGTATTGCACTCTATTTTAACTGTCCTGAGAGCGTAAATTGAGTTTTATTAAGAAGTAGGCACGATTCTAACAGTACGAAAGCCTGAACTTCTCGGTAGTGCGCTCCGATAAATTTAAAAGTTAATAATCGGAGTAAAATGGCAACTCCGACGGCTCACTACCAACTGTCTCCTCGTAATGCTCAATATTTTTGCTTAATAATCTAAAACGGCTCCGAGTTCGCACATTTAAACAAATTAATATTCTTGTACAGTTCAAGTCGTAAATTATTAAATATTACTTTGATCTGCGCCGGCTAGCACTTAATTTATACGAATGATGGGTATTAAGATTTACGTGTTAATTACATTAGAATAAAACTTTAATGTTTTTAATTTGTTCGATTTTATTGTAATTTTGAAGTCATCCAATTTAAAATTTCAGTAAAATGAAATAAGTCATCAACGATTGTGAGAGTTACACTAAGAAAAGATAAAGGTAAAATTTACAATTTGAAAATGGCTAAATGGAACCACATAACATACGTATAATATTTTGCTTTTTCATCGAGTGTATTGTCTCGCTAACTCACATATATGTATAACTTTATTCACTTGGTTTTTGTCTTTGTTTGATATCATAAATTATATCAGATAATATGATCCTACAATCAAGTTATGTTGTAGAACTATTCTGTATTGTTCATAATTGTTCATATTGGTTGCAGGAGACTATAGACATCTACAACGTAAATGCTACCACCTGCCCTGAGACATGAGTTCTAAGGTCTGCTGCAATAGTACCTCTTGTCGAATTTAGTAATTGTGTATAACATGACAATGTATCTGTTGTTATGTACACTGATTTAAAAAATCAAACTAATGTATATGTTGTGGAACGGTAATAAAAAAAAAGTATGCTGGATTTATTTGAAGTCGTCGTGGCCTAAAGGATAAGACGTCCGATGCATGCGTATGTAGCGATGCAACGGTGTTCGAATCCCGCAGGCGGGTACCAATTTTTCTCATGAAATACGTTCTTGACAAATGTTCACGATTGACTTCTGTTATAAAAATCAAACTCGCAAAATTATAATTTACGTAATTGGTGGTAGTGCTTCTTGTGAGTCCGCACGGGTAGGTACCACTACCCTGGCTATTTCTGCCGTGAAACATTAATGCGTTTCAGTTTGAAGGGTGGGGCAGCCTTTGTAACTATACTGAGACATTAGAACTTATATATCAAGATGGGTGACGCATTTACGTTGTAGATGTCTATGGGCTCCAGTAACCACTTAACAACAGGTCGGCTGTGAGCTCGTTCATCCAACTAAGCAATAAAAGTAAAAACCCAATGACTTGGTAAGTACACGAAACATCGTTAAATAAAAAATTAAATTAAAAATAAATTAAATAGATATGTAATATTAAATGAAAAAATATATAAGCCCCGTGAAAACTCGCGAGCGATGGTACGAGGTAAATGTGAAAGGAATTCATAAAACGAAATTATTTCAAACACATGCTACCAAATAGCCTTCATAAGTATGTATAACAATGTTCATAAAAAATTTCTCGAACACGGCCTGAAACAATACGTTTAGGAATGTGGAAAAATTATAGCAATAAATTCACTTAACACGCTTCATAAAACCAAAGGACTGGACTTTTGGACATGGCCTCGCGATGTTTTTGTTTGCGGTTAAATGTGCTGATTTTGTAACGAGATACGCAAAAAACATTTCGCGGAGTAAAAAATGTGAGTTCGTCGTTATGTGTACTCCGTTAAATTTTAGTACACACTTAATTCTCCACAAACCATGTAATGTGCTATTTTCACGAAGATAGGTGAAGGAATTTCCCTTGTTTTTATTTTTGCATAAACCCCTAAAACTGTTTACGGAGCTGACTTCGTGTATGTAGTGAGAGAGGAAAACATTAAATCATACGCATTCTTTAACATACACAAAAGCTATTTTTTTTTAGTTTAGTTTCATAAACTAACCGTACCATAAGTGCCAGGACGCGTGCTCATGAAGATCTTTTATTTTTGGAATTCCATTTGATTCCCAAAAATAGATGATCATACTTGAATGCCAGTTGCAAAAATAAACAACGTTATGAATAAAAGTTGTTTCATTTTAAGTCATACAATTAAATACGTACTTGAATTAATGATATAGTATGATTTAGAATCCATGATTTGAGTCAGGAGTCAGAGTTATTAGTTAGTAAAACTTCCGGTAAATCGAATCAAAAGACCAAAAATTGGATAATTGTAATGCTAAATAATTAGTGAGACCATTCATCACCATTCAACCGTTTTGTACCGTGAAGCTTTCACACGTCTTAGTACGAGAGCCGTGAGATTTACGCAGTTTAGAGTTTGACTCAACACTGATATTCGTTATGATGCTCTGTGAATATCTATATATATAAAAGAAAGTAGTGTTAGTTACACTATTTATAACTCAAGAACGACTGAACTGATTTGGCTGAAAATTGGTGAGGAGGTAGCTTAGAACCAGGAGAAGGACATAGGATACTTTTTATCACATTCCCGTGGGACTTGACATAAAACGTGGTAACTATGACAAAACGCAACTGACAGCTAAACGTAATATATTTTATGGTTAATTGTGTTAATTATAGTAGAATTTTGAAGTTGACTGGTTGACGTGTTTGAAACAAACCGTGTGGCGGAACAAAGTTCGCCGGGTCCGCTAGTTACATATAAAGTATCCGATTGTATCTGTATATGTATTGTAATTGTATACAAAATAGATATGTACTATCAAAGGAAGTTCCCATTAGGGGGTGTAAAGCAAGGTGACGACTCCCTGGCGCGTCGTTCTAACCGCATTATATCCTAAGCTCTTATCGACTACGCGTTATTGGAAGTCGAGAAGACCCATCAATTTCCTCATACTATTTTTGTCGACGTTCTTAGCTTTTATAAAATAAACATTATTTCTATTATTTGCACTTGATGTTACTGCTAGTGTTAAGAGTATACCGGATCTAACTGCACCACATGGTTGCAGCCTCACACTTTAATATATGAGGTCGATGCCTCAATTGTATTGTATGACGGTTGTCCTGTCCTGTAAAGAGAATGCTTACCATCCTCCTGCTAAAATAAACAGTGATTGTTGAAATAGACAAAATGGTGATAGCTATTCAGGCGGGCTCGCCTAGAACTTAGTTTCAGTACGAGGTTGCCAAATTGCTAAGCCTAACCAAAACAAATCTTTATTCGCTTCGTTTAGGTACTAAAACAGAATAGAATTAATTGGACAAGAATAAGTTTAATCAATTAATTTTAACTTTAAATTGATTTTGCTTGTTAAATTGCTGAGATAATTTGCATAAGCATGGAATTGGGCGGCTGAAATTCTTTGCTGTGTATGTCAGTTTCCATGTCAGATTGCATTGCTATCAGACTGCCGATGGTGAGCATTCGTGAATACACTACGTTATATATGATTATGTCGCCATTACGGGTAACTGCTCAGTCGACTTTTGTAAGCTAAATCCCGGATTAGCAATGAGTGTATGATATTGTATTGAAGCTGTATGTGTTAGTTTTAATTTCTATTTATAGCATTAGAACTAGACATCCACTTGTCTAAAGTGGTCACCGTAGGTGATGAATATCGGCAATCTTGGAGGCAGAACCATACCACTGTACGATAGTAAATAAGAAATCATCTCTTTAAAGCGTTTGAATTAAAACCAGTTATATTGCTTGGAGGATAGTGTGAAGCTAATTCTAGAACTTTATAGTTTCAAAGCAAAAAACATATCTAATCTCTATTCCAATTACGAAGTCCCATTTGACAGATGTCATAATCAAGTACTAGTAAAGTACCGCTGTAGTCAATACTCGACGATATCGATTATAAAGCTGCACTGTATTCGAAGTATGTAAATGATTTTAGGAGAATATTATTTTTTGTTTTTTTTTGTTGTATTTTTTCAATTGTTTTGGTACAGGCGCGCTGGAGGGCGGCGCGCTGGGCGGCGGCGGCGGCGGCGGCGCGCTGGGCGCGCTGCGAGCGGCCGGCTCGCCGCCCGCGCCCAGCCTCGGCGCCAGCCGGCACAGTCTTATAGGTAAGGTCTAACTACATACTTTTGGCCAGAAGAGCTGATATGATAATATTGTGACTAGCTGTTAATCAGAATAAAAAGTTATAATTTTTTTTTATCCTACCTAAGCCTAGTAGGCTTTATCCTACCTAGCCTACTACTACCTTAACTAGTAGGTGAGCTAACGGGGCTCAAACCTGACGACATTGCTAACACGAACCCTAGCAAGAGCTGTGCTTCGCAGAATCTACCACCGGATCGGAAACGCGACCAACTGAGAAGATCCGGCGAGAAACTCAGTGGGCTGTGTCTGAGGGTTAAAGTTATCAACGTCAGCCTACATAACCCACTACTATCATATATCTATCATCGTTCTATAGTTAATAATCCTCTCAGGTTATCTTCCTAGACTTATCATTGACTCCGATCCTGATATAATAGTGTAAGACTTAGTATTCCTCGAGGTTTGAGTGTAAACAGGCCGTCGTTCGTAATAGCTTGCCAATCAAATTAAGAAAATGTTCCATACAGTGAGGTAGCGGTAATGATGAAGACTCACTACGGAATTTGTGACTTTTTAAATGCCGTTGAAGGCAGACGAGCATACAGCCCGCCTAATGGTGTTTGATCACAGTCGTTCATGGACGTTAGTCATTTCAGGGACACAGCAAAGCCGATGCCTATCGCAGAGAACTCTTCTCGGGCCTGGTATGAAAAGGTACATTTCATATAGTACAATGAAGTAAAAATCATTTTGGAGCTAGATAATACACGGTAAAAGATTATGATCACTGAAAACACATTGCGGTGGAGTGGTTCTAGGAAAAATTTATGAATTCTGCTCCAGTTATGGGCGTTGCGATGGAAAAGTTGATAGCGGGATCACCTAGAACAATTTCTTATAGTCCTCTTTGTGGGAAATACGATACAAAACACAGAAAAACCAAAGTCCCTCTCATCATTTCACTAAGGTCCTCTCTAGTATCCCATCAAGCGCGCACGGTTTGATTCGCTTATTTTTGTTGTTGAAACTTAGTTATTAACATAAAATTTCTTGAATAATTTATTGAAAATAAAACCTGTATAATTTTAAAACCTTTACATATCTTAATTGTCTACATGCCTTAGCAGAACGTCGTATCGATCCGTTGTCTGTGGTCGCGTGCCGCGCAACTAAAAAAGAACACGCTTTCTTATTTAATATTCGTCTGCAAGTGTCCTTTCTTATTGGTAATTTAATGATCTGTATAATTGACTGCCGCACCGATTTCGAAAACAGCTTGCATCTATTGATTACTTCAGTTTTTGTTATTGCGTCCTTGCGCATTGTATGCGTCCTTATATGACCCGATAGTATACCCATTTCTAAGCCCTTTACAATACTTACCACATTATTGTATTATTGTTGTAACTATACTTGAGCCGTTGTAACTATATTTGAGACCTTAGAACTTATATCTCAAGGTGGGTGGCGCATTGATGTTGTAGATGTCTATGGGCTCTGGTAACCATTTAACACCAGGTGGGCTGTCAGCTCGTCCGCCCATCTAAGCAATAAATAAAAAGTTAATTTTGATTTTCTGAATATAACGATATTTTTGCATTAATTCCCCAAACGAAATTATTTTATTCAGAGTTTACTTCAGTCTTGTGAGTTTGCGAGATTAGTTCTTTTTCTTGTTTAAGTTTATGAATTGAGTGCCGCTCAAAAATTCACGTGAAACTAATTGAATCTGAAGTTTTTCTTTCGACGAAATTAACTTCTAAAGTTAAACTAAGTATTAAGAGGTGCATTTTGTTAACTAAAATTAAATCCACGAGAATTAACGAACAAAGATGTCAAGTAGAACGTTTACTTAGAGCCAGTTGGATCCGGGCTATCTGTCTTGTCGGATCAACAGATGAAAATAAAGCCTGGAGATATCAGACGTAGAAAATAATTTGCCGGGGCGAATTGTCTGCAGTTACTAACCGTTACCGGGACAAATTTGGAGCCGAGATTGTGATATTGACAAAACTAATTACGATGACTACATTGATAATTTAGTTATACATATTAATTTATTTACCTGTAATTACTACATAAAATTAAAAAAATTAAATCATGATGATGATGATGACTACATAAAATTAAAAAACTTCATAGAGGGAAAAACTTAACACCGAATGCACGCTGTCTGCACTTAAGCATTAAACTTACAGATAAAAGTTTATTTCAGCTATATAAGAAAGATCTAGTTATTTTTTTAAGTTATCTATCGTTTATACTCCATCGTTTCGCGGATTTATATGTACATCCTCTTTATGGACCATAATATGGATCGTGTGCACGTAAATTGTACTTTCCGCTACGGAGTTTATTGTATACTTATCGTTTTTCAATAACTTCAAACTTGTTACGAAAGTAGAGCTTAGCTTAGACGTTTCTGAAATAGTTTATTAATAAAGATATAATCGTTTCTGTTTCGAAAGTTAATGTTCCGGTCGCGGATAATGGATTCCCGAAAACAATACTTTTCATGAGGCTACAAGTTTCGTTAAATGTGTGGCACTTTCAAAGTGGATGGTAAGCCGCAAATTTCTCTCAATATATAGCTAGTTTAATTTGGTGGAATAGTTTAATTAACAGGATACCGAGTCAGTGTGTGTGTGTCCTGAGGAAATTGATGAGTTGCGTCGTACGAAGGTTACTCGTAAATCTATTGTACCTGACTTTATCTGCTGCTACATTCATTTGTTTCCAGAGAGACTGTAATTAGTTTAAATATATTCGTGAGCAGAAGATTTGTTAGCCCACGACCTCGTTATTATTTTGCCCTTATTACCGAAGCAAGCATTAAACATTCATTAGAAGTCACACTCATTATTTATGTAGGAGCAAGCGACTTATTGTAAATTAAACATTAAATTCAAGGGACCATTAAGGTAGCGTTCTGTGGTTTCCCTTTCCTGCAGGATTTCCCTTTTGCATTGATTCGATTTGTACAGTTGTTTGTGACGTAAATTTATGTTTCGGCTTGAATCACAAATGCCTTGATTAATTGCAATTTGTTATACGAAATCGTTTATTGATCGATGTTGGGGCAACCTATGAAATACGGGGATGATAACAAACAAATGTTTGGATTTTGAATATTTTGAAAACCGCAAAGATATATTAAGTATGATTCGAAATTTTATTGCATTGGACACTGTTTAAACAATATTAATATATCAAACTAGGAACGATTACATAAAATGTAGAACAAGATCAGTTCATAAATTCGATAAATTAACCGTTATCAAGCCCGGCGATCGTAGATAAAGTGACAATTATAGCCCCCGAACGTATCAGCGACATAGGAGTTCAATATATCGCTGACAATGAATTATTCCTATGTTCGCAATTACCAGTCTACATCGTACTATTAGTTCTTATGTACATCTTTTAAAATAATTGTTACCCAGACCGAACGAAGCGTTTATTTTTTATGAATACAATGATATAGTTACCCTTCTATAAAATAATTTTAAACATTTCACTTTCTTTTTTTCAGGAATAGTTTCGCGGTATTTTTTGACATTGACAGTTACCTTTTGAAATACAAACGGAATAGGCAAATCACGATTTTTTTTTAAGAGTTTTTATGACCTGGTAACTAAGACCTTTAAGTCATGTCTTATTTTACTTTAAATTCTTAATTTTATGAAAAATGATAATATGGAGTGAAATGAAATGAAGATGATTAATTTGAGACATTAATCAACTGGGATGAAATTTAATGAAACGAAATGATATGGGATGAAATATAATCGCAGTAAAATGGTGGTCATTTACTGAGATTTTTTCAGTGGACTTTTTGGAGGAACCCGAGAAGTTACGTCCAGCAGCTTTGTTTCATTTTCCCACATTTGTGCACTTTCACAGATATTAAACGGTTAATAAACCACCATTATTACACATTTAAACCTGAAGAAACACTAAATAGACAAAATAAAACAAATCACACAACTTCACTCCTCGCGTTCCCGCCAAAAAGTCCGCAAATCACGATGTAAGCTATGACCGTAGAGCATTCGTTTGCAATTAAGTTTATCTATTTACATTGCTGTTATACTCTATGGTCGTTCCTTAAAAGTCCTATATCCAATATCGTTTCCTACCAAGCGCCATTATATTTAATTATCGGAATAAAAATAGTTATTCCGATAATAAAATCGAATGTCGCCCTTTCACGTTTGAGGGTGAATAAAACAGGTGCGAGAATAAATCTGCTTCTGAATTTCGATTTCTTTGTTTGATTGTTGACACAACAAACAAGTTCAATGACGTGCAATGTTTGGTATCACAAGCCCTGAGCCCTGAACAAAGAGAAACAAGGCCTTGTTCAAATAAAACATTTTGAGTGACAAAACTGGAAACGGACAAACTTTATCGAGTTCTTTGAAAATATGAAATCGATATCTACCGCAAACTTACGGTGTTCGTAATTAAAACAACTTATATTTCTTTATCTTTCGTTTATTATTTTGATTTTAGTATTTTTGATAAATATACTTTTTTTTTATTGCTTAGATGGGTGGACGAGCTTACAGCCCACCTGGTGTTAAGTGGTTACTGGAGCCCATAGACATCTACAACGTAAAAGCGCGATATAAAGTCTAAGGTCTCAACTATAGTTACAACGGCTGCCCCACCCTTCAAACCGAAACGCATTACTGCTTCACGGCAGAAATTGGCGGTGTGGTGGTACCTACCCGCGCGGACTCACAAGAGGTTCTACTACCAGTAAAAATAAATATATATAAAAATATATATCAATCAATATACTGAGCTTATTAGCTTGTTAGCTTAGCTAGAGGACGTCTGATATACATATATTATTATTATCTGATAAAGATCAATCTGTTATTATAATAGTAGCACCCCAGTAGTTGAGGTTTGATCTTGATGTGATACTTCAACAATTAAAATAATTTTCTGTTGTTTTGTTACTGACATTTATCTTGTAAAGAAAAAAAATATATTTTACACTTTCTTTCTG